TGCTTTTCAATGCCACAATGATACTAATTGACATCTTGCTTGCATCTTTGGCTTGTATGGCTTCACATTAAATTTAAAAAATCAATAAGAAATGACACATTATAGTGCTCTTTGGTTGGTTAATTTGTAGTTAATACAAACATATAAGATATCAGCAAAATAGAATTCATCCACGGAATACATCCACAATATAATTCATCCATAGATATCATCCATATACTTCATCAATTCAGTCCGCCAGCACATCGGAATATCACCACGTGGAAGGGTGCGATAGGGCGATGGCGGGAGGAGAGTGCTAGGCAATTGCGCGGGCTGGAGTCGGTGTTTTCCTTACCTTGGTGAATCCAATGCATAAGAAGTTTATATGGTGTTGATTGCTTTCGAAATTGTTGCGAGACCGAGCTGGCAATTTCGATCGCCTAGTTTACAAGGGTTGCAGGTTCGGCTGTTATTTCTATTGAGGTTTTACATGGTCTAACCGTAGCTACACCCAGTTTTTCAAACTCATAGTCCTTTCTTAGAGTAAAGGAATCAGCAGGGACATTTATCATTTTCTCCTCGCATGGAGTTTTTGAAAATTTTAACTGTTAAATTCTTTGATAAGATGCACAAAGACACCAGCAGCACGTTGGAGATACGTAGAAGAACCTGATCTTTTTCACATTCATGGAATCTAGTCGGCATCTGGCATTCAATTTAAAATCAGTTTTAGACACAGTATTATCGGGTCCGTAGAAAAGACTTTACCCAGATTAAAGGAGTGAAATAGGGTTCTAGGAACTCCAACAATACTGATGGTTTAGAATGCACTAGAGGGCAGAATGCAGCATGTTATTGCAAGTACTGTTGGTATTGGTGCTGCTCAGAAAAAAGTATTTGGTGACCTGAAAATCCAACTCCATAAATTGGTGTCATTTTCGTCTTAGTAGTTCTCTAATGAACCGAGGACACTTGCGTTGATGGAATTGTTGTGTATTCATGCGAGGTAACCAAGCAATCCTTCTTCCCCAGGAAATGTCCGGGTTCAAGTGCTGTCTGCGCCCCACAATTACGACAGTAAATGTTAGATGGGAATGAAGTCTTGACAGAAAATGTGTTAAAATGCATCAAGAGTCGTTTTCAATGTACATGTCCAGCTAAAACTTCCTAGATATTCTGCTGATTTGTTAGAGGATGCTTCAGGTTCGTCAGGTTTTCCCTCTCTTAAAGCATGATCCGTGGAACAGACTTCCATTTCAAAATTTGTCGGTGGAAATTTCTTCAGTTTCGTCATGGCAATCAACCGCGTCCTTCAGACAATTTCGATCTGTTCCAGGGTTGAAGTTTTCAAGCATCAACAGTCAAATTGACGTCAGTAAAGTTTTGCCTTGATTAACCAGCTCTTGTCATCTTTATAGTTTATGATTTCAACCTTTGATCGCACTAGTATGTGAGGTGACGAAATGAAGTAAATGATAGGCACCACGTATTCATACCTTTCAACTTGTTGGTCTCAGACATACCTGCTATAATTTTGTAGTTTCAGCATCATCCAACTACAGTATGTACGTTCATAATGCCAAGTTGCAGAAATGACCCTAATCAAAGTCACTTTTTCATGTAAAGCATTCAACAAAATTCTTAAATTCAATGAAAATTCTATTTAGAGATCAGGACTATGAGTTCAGTTTCTTTTTGATGATTGGGGAGAATTTATTCTGACGCAGGCAAAGGTAGACCCATTCTCCTTGGTTGCGGATGAGTTGCGAGTCGTAGCCAATCGGATGCGATCGATGGTGACTGCAGAGGTACAAAATACTTAAACACCGTTTTCGTAGGCGTCCTAATATTTCCTCTGTTCTCAATTTAAGTTTGTAATTGAATTTTGAATTTTTTTTTTATCTAGTTTCGTAGCTTATCATTTGTAGACATCTCTAATATATATATTTCAAATAAAAACCCTGTTATGTTGTTTTGTATCGCCATTCGTAATTCACTGTTTTTTTTTGAAGTTGCTGATTGAAAAGTGGTGAACACAGGTTTCAGTATTGTCATTAGCAGCTGAGTATTTCTTCAAGATGGGAGTGGAAGGCAAACGGTTTCGACCTACGGTATCTTTTTTTATTTTTTGTGCAACTGAGTTTTCGTTTGTTTCAGAAGATACTGTTAACACTGATAATTATTAGTTGCTGATTGCTTCAGAATGACGCAAGGAGCTATTGAGAGACTTCAATGTTTTTAGGGGAGAGCGGGTGGCTCGTTAGGGAACTCTGTCTTGATTTGAACGTGAATAGTATCTTTTTTAAAATAGTAGTTCGATACTATCTGAGGGATATTGGCATGGAAACATTGGTATGGACCTTCATCGTTCTGTAAATAAGTGATGGCTATGCAATTCCTATGCTATCTGGTATTTACTATGCAATGACTTTTTGGTCAGCCTTAATAGAGATTTTCGGTTGTCACCCATCGACCTCATACTTCATGCTTGTTATTGGACCAGTTCTGATTTTTTAAATGGGGAAATGATGTAGGTTCTACTTCTTATGTCGACTTTGTTAATGACGTCACCTGCACATGGTCTGCAAGATTTAATTTTTGATGACCTACGATTCCGGCAACAACGAATTGCAGAAATTATAGAGATGATTCACGTAAGTTTTGCAGTTGTGAGGTGTCACATTATCGCTTATGACATCCTCTGTTAGTGCTCTCTTCTCTTCTATTGATAAGATATGTTTGACGATCAGTGAATATGGCCAAGTATGTAGTCCCAAGTCTCATGTTCTTTTTCTCACAGTGTTGCTCAATCATTGGCAGGTGGCAAGTTTGCTGCATGATGATGTGTTGGATCATGCAGATACTCGGAGGGGCATATCGTCTTTGAATCATGCCATGGGTAACAAGGTTTGTGCCGTCATTTCATTCTGCGTTACTGAACATTGTGTCTACACTGAACTACTCTTGTTAAACAGGTTATCTCGACGTGCCACAGACGTGTTTAGTTATCACCTCTCCTACGATGTCAAAGATCCAATGCTTTGTTCGTTATGTTTTTTGAGTGTTGAAAGAGTTCCTGGAATACTGAATGCTTCTTACTTTGCTTTGTGCTGACTGTTGGCCTTGGTTTAGTAGTTGGCAGTTTTGGCAGGCGATTTTTTTATTGGCTCGGGCATCTGTAACATTATCATCACTGAGGAATACACAGGTTGTGGAGTTACTCTCCCAAGTTTTGGAACACTTGGTCACAGGGGAGATAATGCAGTTGTCTAGCGAATACAAGAACATGTCTAAGTGAGCCTTGTCTCATTTCTTTCAGATGGACACTGACTTTGGTACAGCAGTTTTGATGTAATTTGTAGTGAAATGTCGATCCACGTGCTTACGCATGATATTGTTTGACTTCCAGCATGGAAGACTTTTTATAAGACTGCTTCCCTCATGGCAAATAGCTGTAAATCCATTGCCGTATTAGCAGGCCAACCTGAAGAAGTTGCCAATCGTGCTTTTGACTATGGACGTCACTTAGTACATAACCATCTCCCTATCCTTTTTTCGCATCCTCCAGTGCAAATGTAATCTGAATGATTTGGCATCAATTCGTTATGACCATCCTCAGATATTCCTGCACACATTGCTCAGTGATGCCAAATATAACTGCGCAGGGTTTGGCATATCAATTAGTGGATGATGCTCTCAATTACACAGGCACCACCAAAACCTTGGGGAAGTCGGCATTGTCTGATCTTGGACAGGTGAATCATCTTGCTTCAAATGTCTGTGCGTGTACTGATAGGATTTCTGGTTCAATGACAGATATTGGCGTTAGTATAGGTGATGATAATGCGGTTTGGATGTGCAATGCAGAAAATGTTTTTATTAATATCATCATCATACGAAATTATCTAAATGTTTCCTTTTTGGACAACATACTGTTGTTTTGAGCAGGGTGTTGTGACAGCCCCCGTGTTATTTGCGCTTCACCAATTTCCAGAAATGTCAAAACTAATACAACTTAAGTTTAAAACAGCCACAGACAGGAACCAGGTATAGTCTTTTCTAAGCTGTTCTAATGTATAGCAATTTTATGAATAGTACATACCTGTGCAGAATTTTCCGATCTACAATATTGCGAATTTTTGGACGGTGGGTATCTTTTTGATATTTGTGTGATTTTCTGATTGGAAACACTTCTGTTCGCCTGTGCTGAAATATTCCGAACTATGCAGGCTGTTGAAATGGTGAAACAAAGCCAGGGTGTAGCTCAGACCCTCGCATTTGCTACAGTCCATGCGCAAAAGGCTGTGGATGCAATTATTAGCCTTCCCCCAAATTCTTCTTTATATGTGCAACAATGTCGTCGTGCATTGATTGAAATAGCTCACCAAGTAATCACCCGTTCAAAGTGAGTTTTACCTTCTATACATGTAGTGCCTTATAGCGAAAAAACAACCATTTGGTCCATTTGAAGCTTGTAGATCATTTGAGGTATTAGAACATTTGTTCCTGGGGGCTAGTTTCTGACTTCTGAGTATCAAACTTTTCTTGCCCTTGGATACCTTAATTCTCATTATGTAATTCACTTCTGCATGACGTTCTTGGACAGAAATTCAATGTGAGATTCAATACCTAGAATGAGTCTGCATTATTTTCCAATGAATATTATCGCATTATCGTACTTGGCACTCGATGCATCCAATCGCTTTAATCAGAATTGTGCGGAGGAAACCGTTCCTTGAGCTCGCATTCTGATGGCTTTAAGACTCATGTAGTCTCCATGGTAATTTTGGTAACATGTAATTTTAGCTTTCAACTGATAAATTCAATTGAACATACACGTACTTCAACGGAGAGCATATTAGCTTACCCACTTTCAAGTAAATGGTCGGGAGTCGTCCCAACGCGTTCGTTCGAAGTATTCGCTGCAAGTAATTTAGAAATTACTCAATCCATTGACTATGAGGATTTTGGATGTTGTCTTGTGTGTTGAGGTACGAATGCATAATGTACACAGGAGCTTCTAGATTTGGCCATCAAGTGGGGATGGACCATTAATTACCATACTCTTCATAAAATCATCAATACGTATGAGCATCACAAACACCTCGTTATTGCTCATGTCCTCTACAAAATGAAACCTTCAAATTCTAAAATATGCGCTGAGGTCGCCAAGCTTCCTGATAATTGCTTTAGACCTGTGGCTTGGGAAGGAGCAACAACCTACTAAAATCATATGTTCCTAAGCTTCTGCTTCAAAATCTCTCCTCGCAACCTTATCTGAAGCTACTCTGTACCTTAACATCCTGTCCTCTAACTCAATCTTCCTTGTTGGAATCAGCATTAATCTCATCAACCCCGCTTGGCTCTGATGCCCTTGGTTGGTCACTTCTAGGCTCTTCACTTTCTGGAGCCTCCCGACGAAGATTAGCGGCCGCTTCCCTGTTCTTCCTAATCCATTGAAAAAACAATGCAAACAACAGAATCAGGGCCTGCAACATCTGAGTGGTATTCTCCGTAGCCTTCTCATACAATGTGGGACCCTTCACCTCCAGTAGCGTGATTGTCTTCTCTCGGAACCTTTGCAGCAGGTCTGCCACCTTAGACTCCATTTGGTCTCCAAAATCAACCGTTTTGTCACTCTGTGCGACAGATAAACATCAGGAACTCAGAAAACGTTTCAAAAGCGATGCCAATGCGAGCAATCGCTTCGGAGTGACAATATATGCTCGATACTTGCTCGTCATTTCTTAACTGTAAAAGGGGAATTTTTTATGATTGCAATCTAGAACTGTGGAGGAAATTCAGTGTTGCTGGGTGTTATTGCTAGTGCTGATTAAAAGTTTCAGACTTTGACATTGAAATTAGGAGTTGAAGATGACTTACTTTGGCGTACTGTTTACTGTCCCAGATGATCACGGCGGGCAGCACAGGCTTCCTGCCTAGAGCAAATGGACGCAAGAATTTCGGCCATTGCGAGGCAACTATACTTGCAAAGACGAAATCCCTGTTGGCCTGTGCAGCTGCCTTCATACTCTTGATGAACGCATCAGCCTCGGCTGTGGAATTATTTTCCAGGACACCTACGACGATCGGCCGACCATCTTCCGTCAGGAACTTCAAGCTATCGATGTTTAAGGGTGTCACCAATGGCGGCAAATTCCGCTTTACAAAGTTGACCAGATCCGGGCCTGCGAGACAACCGACAGGAGCAGCCGCAGTGAGTTCGTTCAGTCAGTGTAGAAACAAACAGCTATACTTTTGATGAATTGGAACCATATCTCAATTTGTTAGAGAGTGCTGCCAAGCTCTCAAGGGAGGATACCTTCAAAAGGTCCATAGTACACATCTTGCACTTCATCTTCTCCACGTAACACCACCAGTGCATGCCTTTCGTCAAACTTGAAGTCCTCATGAGCCTTCTCAGAGTACTCTCCCAACACAATAAACCACCCCTTATTTCTATGCTTGTGGGCCAGCTTCTCCAATGCGGATGCTTCTAAGCCGAACCCTACAAAGATAGGCAACTCGGATCCATGTGTTTTCAGGAAGTCTCGGAAGCGAGACTCGGATGTGTACACCTCGATGGCAGGAGCTGTTAAACGCCTGACATGTGAGACCAAGGCATTGGCACTGTGGGGACCGTCGTAATCTGTAGGATATCCGTTGGCGAAAAACTTCAGCGTCGGGTAGAAACTGGACACACATGGAATCAAATACACAACGGAGTGACTATGTGCGCCCAATGATTACTCCAACATACTCTTGCAGCAATCACTTGATTGTGATAATAATAAATGAAAAAATAAAAACATCTTAGCAATGGAACAAGAGAAAAAGCTCTTCCGAGGAAATACAAAGACTAACGAGACGAATTCGAAACAAAAACGTGAAGAGTAGCTCATGAAAGTGAGATCCCGCAACTGCATGAAGAAACGAAACATCAAAACGCACCTTATATCGTATTTTTCAGCCATGGTCCGGTATTTGTCAGCGTTAAGCTTGGCCACCACGATCGACGGCTCACCATCTGCCAGAAAGGGAGCTGCTTGATCCAACTGCTTGCACGCTCCATCTCACCATAGGTTAGAGACCTCCACACTACAAAACGACCTAGTCTCCAACGTTAAACTAAAATTTGGAGCCACTAGCACGACCACTTCAAAAACAAAGCCCAATCCCAAACCTGTTCAATCACATCCCTGGACACAAATTAAGACCTAATTCACAAACCGGATCACATTCAGCCACAAACGGTCGTTAACAAACCGGAATTCACAACGCTGAGCTAGGAACGCAGCAAAAACACCTGAGGAGACAGGCTTTGGCAATGCTTGCACCATGGAGCATAGAAGTCGATCAAAATGTACTCGTGTCTGTTAAGAGCGGCCTCAATTGACGCGTCCGTGAGCTCCACAACTTTGCCCAAGTCAGGAGATTCCTCTAAATCGTCGAGCTGCACCGCAGCGAGCGAGACGGCGCTCCGTAGCAGCAAAACGAGCGCCAGTACCTTGACAACGATCGCCATCGCTGCAACTGTTGTGAATTTTCAAACCCAGCGTGCTTTTCGAACACATCTCCCGCATCACTCACTCACTCACTCACTCACTGCCTTCCGACACTGCACCTCGGCGATGGATGAACAAGCGTTCATTTCTTATCGATGAGGAATTGAAGTTGGATTGATGTGTGATGCCCGGACCAAACTTTGTTATTTTCGTTCTCCTGTACGGGTATCAACCTTTAGCTTTATGTGAAAGCATGTACTGTTCTCCTCATCCTTTACTACACACGCCACATTATTCTATGTATGTCTTTTGTTGTTCACTTCGTTGGCTTTTCTTTCTTACTGTTGATTACTGTATCTTTTCCATGTAATTGTAAGATGAGATAGGTCAAGTTATTTATTTGGAATGATTAATTTTATGATCTTGTAGATGAGCGTAGTTAGTGTATTGCAGTGTTGATTCTTTAGCATGATTCTTATTGGAAAGTGAATTAGGTTGTGAGAGCTCAAAATGAGCTAATAGCAGCTTCATACTATCATTAATGCTGCATTTGTTATTGTTATGCATCTCTGGAACACATGTATTATACATGTTTGAGACAATGTATGTTCTACTATTGTTTTAAAGGATTGAAAAACAATTAAAATGATAATTTGATATTTTACCCCATGGTTGTGCCAATACAAAGTTTATAAATCATTTTATACAAACCTATTCAAATTTGTGGGTACATGATACCATAATTATCAAAAATTTTGTTCTTTATTTAATTTTGAACAACACATTTTGAAATGTATTTTAAAATAGGCTTGTTTTAAACAAAAATTATAAAATTTTAATTCATCACTTTAAGTCAAAATACTTGGCAAATAATACTTTCTTTGGAATGTTAAGTGGTGTTCAATATATAGGCAAGATCAATTTCAATTCTTCCTACTCAAAAATTTCTAACTCATGCATAAATTGGTAAAAACAAGATAAAAGAGATAAATAATTAGTCTAGTTGATACTAAATTTAAATTGAAGATAGGGTCGGGCTAAAAAATCTCTTAGATAGGTTGGATTGATAATCAAGGATTGATTGTTTGTAAGATAGGGTTGAAATTAGACCTCCAACCATTAAAATGACTACCTGGAACAAAGTATTAGGGAGATTTGGAGATCAGTAACTAAAAATGGAGAGCTAACTTTAAACTTGTTCCAAAGGCATAAGGCTTATTTTCATAAGATTTGGGATGACTTTGCAATTTTTTTTTAAAGTTAAGATTTGTATTGGTGACTTTGGATTTATGCAATACAATTATGGCTAGTACTCTTGGCTAGTTCAAGCAATTGATATCACATCTATAATTCAAAATTTGATAGTGTTTGGTTGATTGGGTGTGCTAAATGTGTATAAACTTTTGTATTAATCTAATAGTGTAGTTGAAAGATATTTGATTTTTGATACAAAATAATATCAAAAGTTGGCAATTTAGGATTGAGTAGGGTTTTTATGATATCTAAAGATCTATAAATTAAAACAAGGTGAAATTTGATATAATATTAAAAGACTTAAAGATCAAGCTACATACTAATTTTGAGCTAAAGTTAAAATTTTAAGAAGAAAAAATTGCTATTGAAACATTTATATCAACTATCAAGTTAGCAAACAAGTATCATGGATATACATGTATAAGCTAGTAATTACATGTATAAATAGGTAGAAGTAGATAGAAATAGGTAAAATTAAGTTAATTCTATAATATCTTTTAAAAAAGCTTCTTAAAAACTTCATAGATGTTGCTTTGATTTTATAGGTGTCTATTATTGACTTTTAGGTTAGAAACTTGGTCAAAAAGTTAATCATGTGCTACACATGTTGTTAGCTTGAAGAATAAGCTAACTATGTGGTAAGCATGTAGAAAAACTTGCCTTGTAAGTCAAGGCATGTGTTCTACAAAGTCAACACATATTGGAGGTCCTGTAGAATATTGCCACATAGCTATTAGTTAAATAATATATATAGTGACAAGAGTGAAGCCATCTTCACTTTTGTTAACTCCTTCCTTGATTCTAGTTTAGTTTCAAGAGTCTCAAATTTTCTTGTCTTTTAGCAATAAGCCATTTCAATTTCTTTTTAATATACATACTTCTTTATTCCTATTTTGTCACCTTTTCTTTGACACGAATTTCATTGGTTTATGCATCATCTTCATGTCCATGTCCTTAATAAATTGACAAGAGTATACTTATAATATCAAAGCTTTGTCTTATCTTAATTAAGAGTGGATTATCCTTTTTTCATGATAAGACATAAGCCTATTAGAAGTGGCGGATTACCTTCTTCTAAATTGATATTGTTCTTAATATTTTTTTGTCCCCAAGTCCTTTCTTTTACTTCACTTGAATAGTATTAGATATTTTTTGAGTATTATTATGGCACAGTTTGTTGAAATGAAGAGTGCAATGGCACAAATATAAGAGCAATTGAAGAAGTTGATGCTTGCGATGCATCAACTTAGATTACCACCACAAAGATCAATAAGAATGACAAGAAGTGAGGATATAGAGATGATTAGAGTTGCTTCAACATCTGCACCAAATCATGCCCTTCCACCTATGATAGAATATCCTTCAAGTGTTAGAGAACCAAGAATTGTCCTACCCAAGAAATTTGATGGTACAAAATCCAAATTTTGAGGATTTATCAATCAAGTATAACTTGTGATTGAACTTCAACTTCAAAGCTATCCAATTCTAAGATCACAAGTTAGATTCATTGATATTCTTCTTTCAGATTCAGCACTATCATAGTTTTCATCTTTTCTTGAATGACAAGATCCAATATTGGATAATCTAGAGGCATTTTTAGGAAAATTTTGGTCCATGTATAGAGAACATGATGTAACTCGTGTTGCAACCAACAAGATCCATATTTTGCAATAAGGCAATCGATTTGTAATATTATATGCTTCATAGTTTTGACAACTTGCAACTGATATCAAATGAGATGATATTATACTTATTAGCCAATTTCTCTATGGATTACAATATAAAGTAAAGAAATTGATACTTGACTTAGCTGATTCTCAAACATTGAGTCAAGGAATTGACTTTGCTATGAAGTGTGATAATCAAATTTTTGAATTTTGATTTGAAAGTCTCATAAGTGGCCTTCAATGTTGCTACAATTTGATGGCAACACCAACATCTTTTCAACACATACATTTAGAAGTGAAGGATATGCAAATTGATATAGTATGTTTTAAACTTCTTATGAAGCAAAAAAAGGCTCATCACCATCAAGAAGGATTGTGCTTATATTATGGAGAATCTAAACACAGTACTCAACATTGTCCAAAAGAGCGACGAAACTAAAAAAATGAAGAGCATAACTATCAAAGAAGACAATGTGTTGGAAAACAAATTTGTTTAGCTACAATACAGACCTTGCGGCTAAAATCTTGTATAATTTCTAATAAAGGTCCTATCTTCTCCTCAAAACCCTCTCTTTATTTTATAATAGATGAGCATTTAGGACCTAATAATTATAAAGCCTCTGCCTTAATAGATTCAAGAGCCTCAACTTGTTTCTTAGACATAGAATTTATTAAAAGTCATAAAATACTATTAATATAAAAAACTAAATCTGTTCATGTAGAAGTCATAGATATTCATCTGTTATCTTCTAGAGATGTTACTCATAAAACACTTTCTATAGATGTAGCAATAAATGATCATAATACTTGCATAATCTTTAATATAATTACATCTCCTTTTAATCCAATCATTTTAGATTTATCATAGTTAAAAAAATATAATCCTTGAATAGATTAGATTTCTTGTACTCTTGAATTTTCTAAAAGTATAACTAAGAGTAAAATTAATGCAGTAGAAAGTCATAAGTCTAACACAATAAAACCTGTGTTTGTAGATGCGAGAGCTTTCTTGCATGTTGTAAAAAAAGGATCACCTTGTGTCATTTATGCCACACCTATTTCTAATGATGGAAAGACTTTAAGTGGCATTTGAAGTTAATATCAAGAGTTTCAAGATATATTTGAGAAGAAGAATGTGGATACTTTTCCAGAACATTGTTCTTATGGTTGCTCAATAAACCTTCAAGAAGGAGCACAACTGCCATTTGGACTAATCTATAGTTTATTATAAAATGAATTAGCTGAACTAAAGGAATATATTGAAGAAAATCTTGCCAAGAATTTTATATGCCATTCTAAATTACCAACAGAAGCTCCAATCTTATTTGTAAAGAAGAAAGATGGATCATTGCAAATGTGTGTTGATTATGAAGGACTCAACAAGATCACCATCAAGAATAGATACTCTCTACTTTTGATATCTGAACTTCTTGATCAATTGAATCAAGCTAAAATCTATATAAAAATAGATCTACGGGGAGCATACAATCTAGTACGTATTAAATAAGGAGATGAATAAAAGATTGTATTTCAACTTAGGTATAGATATTTTGAATACAACATCATGCCTTTTAGACTTACAAATACATTGGCAGATTTTCAACATTTAATGAATGATGTTTTTTGATAGTTTTTGGACAACATCTTCATCTATTCTAAAAATTTAGATGAACATGAATTTCATGTTCATTGTGTGTTACAAAAATTAAGAAATATGGGATTTTATGCCAAAATAGAAAAGTATATATTCGATATTACTGAAGTTGATTTTTTAGGATACATCATTTTAAATGATAGACTTATGATGAATTCTAAGAAAGTTCAAACTATTATGGATGGAAAGATTTTAAAAATAGTAAGAGATATTCAATGCTTTTTGAGCTTTGCCAACTATTATTAAATCTTCATTAAAGACTTTTTTCAAGTTGTAGCCTTGCTTACACATTTGACTTGCTAAGACAAACTTGAATAGAGTAGAAAAGTTAAAGCATCTTTTGAAGCTTTGAAATCAGCTTTTATTTTTAGATCAATCTTATATTGTGTCAATTTTTCTAAGGCATTTTTTATGGAAACAGACGCATTATCATCAAGAAGGACTATGTTTATATTATGAAAAAAGTAAGCACGCTACTCAATATTATCCAAAGAAATGATAAAACTACAAAATGAGGAATATTGTTGTCAAAGATGAAAACATGTCGATAAAT